GAACTGAACCTCTTTAAAACTTTTTTCTTTAATATGAAGTTCTGCTGTGGATTAGATGAGCGACACAAAGTTTTGGAAAGGCTGAAAACTCAAATCTGTTTTACAAGAAGATGAGAAGGGAGCAAAGCCCTGTATTTTATTGGAGCTATGCTGGGTGTAAGAAAAACTACTTTAATAGGTACAATAGTGACAATATGTAAAGAACCATGTGACCAGCCCATTCCCAAGGCTAAATCAACACCTTGTCAACCTAGAGCAACCACAGGAGAAAAACAAATGTCATTTTTTTCAGCCTAAACTCCACTGAGACCCCCACACGATGAAATGACATTCCCAACAGATATTATATGTTATAAAAAGTCACAGTGGCATACTGTCAGCAACGATACACCAGTGTACAATCAAGGAAGCCAATTACTTAGTGTAAGCAGTCCTGAAAAATACATTGCTTACTCCCACTTCATTCATTTCAGAACTAAAATAAGACTAAGCTTCTAGACCTGTCTGAAATACATTCTCAAAGCTGCCCTGAATAGAAATCTGGGAGCTTGTGAAACTTGAAGAAGTATCTGAGGTTTTAATTCTTAGGAAATTTTACTGTAGAAGAGGGAAATACCAATCAACATACTTCAATGGTTGAAACTAAAAGCTTTGGAGAATTAAAAAATGATAAAAAACAAAACAAAACCCATTTTATGAAAGTGCCTACAATGACAACCAGCGACTTCACCCAGAAAGCTTCATGTTTGATTCCTCAGCTATCTTTGGGTTACCTGTTTAGAAAAATTTGCCAACATATTGTTGATATAAATCTAAGTGGGGTTGAAGAGGAGTCGTGAGTGGAGCAGTATCCCTAAAGAGTAGCAATATTTAAATCTATTGTATTTAATGATTAAAAACAAACACTCTTGGTTGTTAAAGAAAACTCTCCTTGGGACACCGCAGGACCTTTCCTAGAAAGTTAGTAAGGTGATATACTTCTATCTGCCTGTGAAAGCATACCACATTAATGCCACCAATCATGAAGCTTAAGTTAGGGTATTCAATGAAAAGAGCTGCCTTTCCTCCTCTACTCTTCAGAAAATCAACACCAAACACAAATATTAACAGCAGAACAATCAAACCTCAGTAGAGAGTTATCTACTGATTGGCTTTAAGCATTTAAATCACATGTACTTGACCAAAACCCTTTCAAATTCATCCTAAGTCTTAACTCACACAACAACTCAACCTAAATTCAGAAGAATTTGACCACAACCTTATTATCATTTATAATGCTAAATAGTATCACTTTGTTACTATATATAAACCAGTCCTTTGTCTTTATTCCATTTGAAAGTACTGGCTGCTTATTGAAAAATGAAAACATTTGACATGCTGATAAGGTTTAAGAAACACTTGCACCTTAGAAATGAACACCTCCTAGGTTCCAACACAGAAACTGTCAGCTAAGCAAGCAAAGATGCACCAAACATACAATGGTGAAAATACTCAATAGTTAAAACTTGCCATTATAGCATACTTAGTTGGGCTGTCAATTTGGTTGGAGGCCTGACACCAGTAATGTCAAAATGAAGGAAAACAGAAGCAAGTTCTTATGTTAACCATCAGCTTAACTATTGCAATCTAAGAAATGCAAATGAACTTCATATCCCCAGTTGAGGCTCACAGCCCAATACAAGTATGGGTAAAGTAGGGGTTAACTTGGCTCCTAGGGAGAATTTTGCCTATTTGGGCACTTAATGGACATCCAAGAACTCCACAGTATCTTAATTGATTTATCAATAACAACAAAATGCTCAATTATCTTACAAACATGTGTATATACACAGACATGCCATGGACATACAGTGACTTTTACATGGCTTTAAAGATACTGTTACTAGGTGTATAACTTGCACAGGTAGGTTATTTCAAACACTTGCACTCTAGGGCAGAAGTATAGAAATGTACTTAAGTATAAAAATTTATAAATTTGCTCATAAAATCAACCTCTAAGGGATTCTGATTAGTTTACTTAAAACTCAAATGATAACAGTCTCATAAGTTAGTATATCCTGTCAACAATCTGAATCTCTGTTTCAAGTGTTTAATATAGCTTGTAATGTGTTTCCAGAACTTGGGGGTTAAGGAATAAGTTGAACTATTCATAACATTCCAGGTACCACCAACCTACACTTGGATTTGAAAAATTATGTCCAGAATTTTGCCTACTTTAAGGGAAGGGGTTAATGAATCCTTCTCTTTCAAATATTTTACCGTGACTACTAAGCCCACTAAATCCTTTTGTTGCAATTGGAAATGATCAAAGTCTTTACACTTGTTTACTTCTAATTATTAACTGTAAAGCTCTGTGAAAAAAAGATCATGCTATATAGCTGTCAAACCCAAAAGACTGCATAAACACATCCAAGCACTTTTTTGTGCTTCTTTCTCAAAGCATCTTTACCATATGATCTATGATGACGGTTAGCAAAATCTATAAAAGATAGTAGACTTGAAGTCATGGTTCTAGGTGCATCCCACAGTAGAGGTTGAGAGAAAAATTGTAGCTTCCGAAAGAGAAAAAGAGAAAGAAAGAAAAAAGAAGCTTGAAAGAAAGGAAACCTCCTGCAAGAAAGACTAACGTCCAGTCACCATCATCACTCCAAAAAAAAAAAAAAAAAAAAAGCTCCAAATTTGAAATGGCCACTTCCCAGGGAGCACTTCCCAAGTGATGTTTAGAGAACTTATTCAAGACTAATAGCAAATAACACCTTGAAAACTTTACCATTTTAAACACAAATGCAGGAGACCTTGGAAACAACTGGGAACCGCCATCTTACAAGCCATCCAATTTCACACAAGTGTCCCTCCAACTTAAGTTAATAACATTTTTATTTGGGCTCTCCCCAGTCTAACATCCACCTTGGCGGGACCGCTGCCCCCCACGTAACCCGTCCCTATAAAATGGGGGCGTTCTCTGGTTGTTTAAACCCCTCAAAAGCCCTTTCTTCAGGAGAGGAGGGAAGCCACTTGACCCAAGCAGCTCCCGATTTCAGGAACCCGTCCCCGTTTCATCAAAATCTACCTCTCAACAAAGGGCGTCGTGGCCGCGAGAGCCGCAGAGGCTGCAAATAGAAGTGTTCTTCTCGGGGGCCATGTGCATCGCGAGGGTGTAAAGGGGCGCTGGGGGGAGAAAGGAACTAAAACGTGGGGCCGCGCGCAGCGCGTCCGGGGCTGAGCGGGAGGCGGCTGGAGCGGCGCCGAGCCCGGCTGGCGGCGGCGGCGCGGCGCGGGCTGCGGGTCGGTCCCGGCGCCGCGGGAGTCGGCGGGCGGCGCGGGCGCGTGCTCGCGGGCGCGGGCGGCGCGCGGGGCCGGAGGGCGGCGGCGGGCGGCGGCGCGGGGCTCGGCGCCCACGCTGTCAGCGCCCTCCTGGCCGGCGGGGTGAGGCGCGGAGGGGGGGGGTCGCTCCCAGTCCACCCGTGGCCAGCTCCAGCCCCGCGCGGCCCCAGCCGGCCCCCGGCCCAGGCCTGGGGGCGCCTCGCCTCTTACGTACCCGGAAAAAGCAGCCGGCGAGACGCGATCGAAGCGGGCGGAAAAGACAATGAAAGTTAAAAGTCGTTCAGCAGAAAATGAATGTGAGCCAAGCGGCCATCTTGAAGCAAGCTGCAGACGCCGCTGTCAATGGGCAACGAGCGCAGCCGAGAGGAGCCGCGGCCGCCGCGCTCGGCTCATGCTGCCTCCCGAGCCCGGCCTCCTCCTCCTCCTCCGCCTCGGCCTCCTCCTCCTCCGCCTCGGCCTCCTCCTCCTCGGCCTCCAACGCCTCCTCCTCCTTGGCCTCCTCCTCCTCCTCCTCTTCGGCCGCCGCCGCCTCCTCCCGCTCCGCACTCGGGGGAGGGAGCGCGCGGAGGGGGCGCGATCAGTATTATTCTGCGGGGCTGGGAGGTGTTTCTAATCCGGATCGGGGCTCCCTCGCCAACATCCCCATTGTCTCGCCCGGATCTCTGCCTTTAATACTACGATTATTATTTCATATTGCTGTTGGAGGAGGGCGGGTGGGGGGCGCTGTGTATGTGCGTGCGGCGAGGCGGGGGGAGGGGAAGGAGGATGAGAAGGGGGCAGGGGAGGGTGGAAAAAAAATGCACCGCTGAAGGCAGAGTGGAAACTGACACCGGCTCCAAAATGGCTCAGAGTCCGCCCGCCCCCTCCCCCGCCCCCCCCACTGGGTCACGTGCTCCCCTCATTCCTTAAGGGCGGCCTGGGAATTAGTGTCGGTGTAGTCGGGCCGGTGTGGCCGCCCCCTCCCCTCGGAGTAGCGCGACCCGGCCCCCTCCCCCTCGTTCTGCGCGGCGGCGGCGGCGACGTTTCTCCACAACGCCACAAGCGCTACCCGGCTCTAGACGCGGGCATCGCTCCGGCGCCGCCGGAGCTTAGCCCACCCCACCCCCCGTTATTTCTTTTTTCTGCCGTACGCCTCCGCCCGCGGCGCACAAGTCCCCGGCCTCCAGGAGAGGAGAGCGCTGGTCACCGCCCCCCTCTCGGCCTTGCCACCCGCAAGGGCTGCGGCCCAGACTCCGGCACCGCGGCGCGGAACCTGTGCCCGAGTTGGGCTCGTGGAAACAACAGCGCCCGCCCCTGTCTTCCCGCGGCCGCACCAGCTCCCGCCAGCGGCCGAAGAGGGGCGCGCACGGGCAGCTGCTCGCTCTGGCCAGGGGCTCCGCGCAAGGGATGGCCCAGCCGGGCCAAGGGAGCCCTGCGGGGGAGGGTCCAGCTGCGGGCGAGCCCTCCCGCGCAGGTAACGGGACGCGCCAGCTCCCCTCCGCAGAGCGACCGCGCCTGCTCCCTAAGTCTCGAAGCTGGAATCTTCAACAAACCTCGGAGATCGCATCTTTTCCCACTGGGTTTAATTTTAATCCAGAGAAAAGGCGGTCGTTAAAAGTTAACGCTAATCGTTCTGTCTTCACAGTAATAACTGACACACAAAGTCACATCCGAACAAACGTTCAGTAGTTTTGGTGGGAACTTATTTATTCAGAATGCAAATACTGTCTACTTCATTTTTTTAAGGCTTGAAAAAATGATCAAAATGGACCAATGTACAACAATAAAGATGCAAATACTTAGGCAGAATTTCCCCCTTAACACTTTCACAAGTGTAAAAAAGCGTCAAAGTTTATGAATGGCATAAACCCAAAAAAGTGGGGTTTTTTTCCTTTTAAAAATGAGTATATCCAGCTCGCACAAGAGATGGTTCTGATGCTTCTGCGGACGGCAAGGAATTCTTGGTCTTCCAGACCCGGGCGGATCGCTACCTTCCCCAAGTTACAATTGAGTCGCTCTTTCCAGGCTTTTCGAAGCATCTTTAAGTTTTCCCACTAAGTCCTAAAAGACGTATATAATGCCAAGTTTTTAAGATAAAACACGGGAAAAGAGGTATCCAAGTTTGAGAAAGATTCAAGAAAAAAAGTCGGGAGACACTTGATAAACAAGTTTAAAATTCACGAGGATATTAACCTTTGACAGACCATCAAAGAAGGTTTTCCTCTAAAATAGTTCATCTTCAAATAGGCTACTTGCTCTCAGATCTGAAATATGATTTATAACCAAATCCTCCTAACAGAAAAGATATCTAAATTAAATTTCCCATATTATTCTAACAAAGATTATGGTGTATTCACATTTTCTGAAAGCTTCAAGTTTGATTAATGGTTACAGTAAAAACAACTCGAGGAGCTGTCTTTTGGGAAATTAAATTTCATCAAAATTTCAAGCAATGATCTTCATTTTTTAAGTGGTAAGAAATAAATTCTCTGTCATGTCCACTAATCAATGTAGTTTTTAATTTCCCCAGTCTTACATTGGCAATGTAAAGCTTTAGAATTTTATGTATACTTCCCCATTTATTGAAAGTCATTCAAAACCACAGTTTTAAAATCCTGTTTTGAAAATTTAGTTCAATTTCTGAAAGCAAAAAAGACATTTTAAAATCCATGTTTGTAATTTTGCTTTGTCCTATAGGATCAAACTCATCACAAATAGAAGGAATTTTCACTCAACACTACACTTCAGAAGTTTATTTTAATTGGAGGAACAGTAAATGTACATCAATTCTTTATTAGTGACATTTTAATTTCAAAAGTGAAGTCTACATTAAAATATTGCTTTTGAAGTCCCCTTCCCAATAAATCCTTAACCAACTTTCATTATCTACTGATAGATGGGTTAGATTATTATTCTTTTGAACTTTCCAAAAGCATAATTCTCAGTTAAACATCTATGAAAAGATAGGCGTATTCACAGGAACTAATACTGTACCTGCAATTGTTCCATGTTGCAACTAAAACTAATCTCTGGGTGGGATAGGGAATCAGTGTTCTAGAGAAGAAAAAAAATGCTGTTTATTTAAGTCAAGGAAATTAAAATTCCATTACACATTTAATCTTTAGACAGGGCTGATGTATAAATACCTCTACTTTTAAGGTCACCAAATATGCAGGTCTGTGTATCTTATGAAGTTGATTGGTCTAAAACAACACAAAATATTTCAGTCTTTAACTCTATTTTTTAAAGTTTCTTAAATAACCCTAGAGAACAGTTAAACTTTACCTTTATCTGATACTCCAAACGCCAAGAAACATCAGTTATATGAGGGAGAGATCTGCCTATACTGAAAGATACAAGCATAATTTTGTACATAATACCTACATAAGACTATCCGTATTTTTACTATGGTGTCTACCTTCCACCCCCCGCCCCCACTACCACACACACATCATTTTAATCTATTCTGCACTTAAAATATCATTTAACTTCATTTTCAAGTCTGAATAGTAAAAGAACATTTTAAAAATTATTTCAATAAACTTTATCTTTAAAAACATTTGCTTAAATGCAATTGTTTAACTTGCCCTTTGGCCCCTTTTCTTTTGGTCAAGATCCTTGTTTTTTTGCCCTGTTTTGTTTCACACCAGCACTCTCCATTCATACCTGCAAGTGAAAAGTAGCTCAACTTGACACCTTATACAGGTACGTACCTTCCCAGTAGGATTTCTAGGGAATCCTTATTATTCTAGAGGACAAAAAAAAGAAAAGAAAGAAAACACACCTTTGCAAACAGAGTAGAAAAAAATAGTAATTCTTAATTTTAAAAAAATTGATGTAAGTAACCTGATATTCCGTGCAAAACAGTTCTGTTCGCTCTCTATCAAATTTACTGTCTTCTAGATAAGTGCTAAAGGAAAAAAGAAGCCAAAGTTTAGTTCCCATTTTTAAAACTCAAATTGGAATCATAAAGTTACTTTTTGCTAATAAATGGAATTTAAGTAAATCCTATACCTTAGGGTAGATTTGTCAGCTCTTTGCTTTCCTGCTTCCAGTATGTAAGTTGCAACTGCTGCATGACAATGTTTTAAAACCACTGGGTCGATATGTTTCAAGTCTGGGTGATCTAAAATAAATTGCCAGTGATGGTTGGAATAAATTTTTTATAGTCTTTTATCTAAAAGGGATATTTTAATTTGGGGAACCCCCCCCCCCTTTAACAAGAGAACAAAAAGAATACCACTGCAAGGACTGGCAATTTTAAGTAAATGAGATGAGCAACAACGTCAATAGCAAAACAATAAAGAGCACACGTCAATAATTCTACTGTTTCCTGGTTTCAGTTACTTTCTTATATTTTGCCTTAATATTTTTACTGTTTAAAAAAAATTATAGTCCCAAAGAAAAATAACTATATAGTGGTCATTCTAACACTGGAGTAAATTCAAAAGAAAGAAATATTTTACATGGTGCAAATTTAAGAATGAATAAACATTCCCTCTAAAGATTGATTAAATTATAGGGTAAATGGCTCTATGGGCATTAATGCATCAAAGGTAGCGAGGGCACAAGTTCAGAATATTAAATATAATTTTCAAAATATTTTCAGATTTTGACAGCCATCCTTATTTTCAGATTACCCAGGTGGTGGTTCCTATTCTCGTTTAAAGAACTTCCACTTTCATACTTTTTGTACAAGTGTTTTGTTCATGAAACCACAAGGGAAAAAAACACAAAAATTTGAATTGTTGGGATATTTATACTTAAGAAAATTATCTAAAAGCCATCTGTCTTAAAATGTGTCTTCAAATCATACAAACACTCGGCATCACTGACCACACCACTTAAGAGACTCGCCTCCTGTTAACTGGTGCGGAACAAAACACTATGCACCGTATCTTAACGTTCCAGATGTAAAACATACCTAACTAGAGTGTTGGAGTGATCGTAGGAACTTGAGGTATTCTCTAAGTTGGAAAATATCAACACTATTTGACCTAGTAATTACTCTGGAAACAGACCCTTTAAAACCTCCGCCAGCCTAGCACTGAAAGCTTGAATTGCCAGAGCTCGCCTGATGAAATTCAAGTGTCAAACAGCCTTTTCCCCCGACCAAGCTGAAAATCTCAGATGTTTAGGCCACAAACAAGACTGAAACACAGGACTTAGAAAGGAACAAAGAGCCTGGGAGGAGGGAATCAGGTTAGGAGCTTGTGGCTGGCTATCTGCAGGTGCCGACAGGAGACAGAACAACGTTCAGGGTCCGCTTTGGGTTCTGGCGGACGCACAACCCCACACTCTGCAGTCCGGAGCGAAGGGCAAAGCCCGGAGACTTCCTCTTCCCGGGGCTTTTACCCCTCTCGCTCGGTCTCGCAGCTTTCCTTGAACGCCCCTCCACCCAGGCCGATCTAGCTCAGAGCCGAGCGGCTTACCTAACACGGCCTCGTCCGCCTGGGCGTCCAGTAGGCTCTGGAAAGCCGCCCGGAGGAGAAGCGTGAAGGCGTTGGAGTCAAAAGAGCTGGGATCGGCCAGCATCTGGAAGCCTTTCTGCACATACTCCGAAAGCTCCATTGTGAGCGCGCTGTGACCTTCGACACGCGCACCACGTGATACGCGCCGCGCGCTCAGCTGATGCGGCCGCGCGCGCACGCGGCTTCGGGCGGTGGCGCTGGCGCTGGCTATGGGCCTCCCAAGCCTAGGGCCTCCCCCACCCGCAGCCCTGCCTCCGTCCCCAGCCGCCCTGCCCTCGACCCCAGCAGCCCACCTCCCGCGGCCCGCACCCTGCTGCCAGCTGCCGCTTCCTTCAGCGCCGGCCGCCACAGCTGCCGATCCTGAGCTAGAGGGGCGGCCTCGCGTGCTTTGTGGACGCGTTCGGTGTTCTCTCTTCCCCTTCGTGTTCACCTGGTACTGTCACCAGCTCCTGTGGGACTCTGCGGCCGCCTTCTCTGACAGACCCCCTTGGGAGGTGGTGAAGGGTGTCGGGATCCCGCCCCACTTCCTTGAAAGTACGCCTTCCTCGCTCAGCGCGACAGCCTGAGGAAAACTCTTAATTTGAGGCAACTGATTTTTAGTTTGAGGCGTTTCTTTTATTCACCAGCTTAACCCCTCCGGACTCCCCTTTAATGAGTCTGTGAATATCTAATTATGTAATTCTTGTTTTTCCTTTTTCATTGTCATACCTAAACTATGGCAATTGATTCTTTCCTGCGTTGGGTGTGCGTGTGTGTACAAATATATAATACGTATGGCGCGCTAGTGTACGTAATGTACTAAAATGATAAAGGGGTTAATAAATTATTCACCAAGATATTTGACAAATTTTTTTAAAATTTGTATATGCTGCTGCAAATAAATACCTTTTGAAAGCAAAAACAAATTTTGTGCTACTGTACTCAGTACATCTATGGTTCCATTTTTAATTACTCAAAGAATCTTCATATATTTATACCAGGCAGTTATCTTAGTAAAAATACAGTTAGGAATGGCAAGAATTTTAATTAGAACTAAGTTACTGTTTTTGGATACCTGTAACTTTAAAGATTCAAATATTGTATGAAGTGTAACTTCTTTATATTTCTATGAAGTTGGAGAACAAGAGTGATTCTTTAAAAAAACCGCGAAGTAGATTATGCATTTTTGATCAAAAGAATTTAAAAGGAAAAGTAAAAATCCCAGTTTTATACGGGTGGAGGAGAGGGATAAGCAACTAGAAAGGTGTTTTAGTGTTCAGCAGAGGTTATTTGAAATGAACTGTATGTGAAATACTTTCTGGGCATAATGTAGCTGCTTATTTGAGAAAATTTTTTCTAATGAATACAGTCCACATTTCACCTTGCACCAATACATGGAGAGCACCTGTTATTACAATAGGATGCAAGGGGAATAATTTAGCATCAGTAACAGAGTACTAAATTCTTTGAAGGCTTTGAAAGGCATGTGAACGACCTCTTCACTTCAATGAGCACATAGGAAGGAGCAGTGAAGGATTTAAAAGAGTCTCCCTAGCCTCTTTATAAAACAAACACCTATTAATCATGTTCATCTTTTCTTCCCATCTCTTATTTTCTTTCTAAACCCCTTGTTTCTCATCAGTAGTAAAATGTCAGTCGACAGATTTCCAGATATCTTATTTACATAGGGATATATTTTACAGGGCAAATGTTAAACAATAGTAACAACATCCAAGCTCATTATGTTCATTACACAATATTTTATGACCTTGCATAACATTGATTGTTAATACTGTAATACAATTTGAGTTGATAATTGTAATCATATTCAATTTGGTGTTGAAAAACAAAACAGTAATGCTTGAGCATAGATTTTAAAAAAAATTTAAGAGGAAAGGAAATACAATTAAATGGTTGTGAGTTTGTGGGCATAAAAGGGAGAAAATTCACAAGGATTATTTCCCTAATAGCTGTTGTGTTCCTCTTTTGTACATATGTAATTACTTTCTCTTATTTGGCACTTGTCTTCTTCTGTCTGAATATATTTATGTGCTAGGCCCAAGTGATGGGTACGTTTCCTGCTCACACAAAAATTTTACCCATGATGTTTCCTGATGCTAGAAAAACAATTCTTTTACTATAGGTACATTGATTTCAACTTCCTTTGAAGGAGACACAGAATTAAGTATTTGTTTCAGTGCAGACAGAACATGTGTGTCTTGGACAATTCAGCCATTGAAATACATTAAAGTATGATAATTAAAATGGCATGATTATCCAGCTCTTGATTTTCAGCAAAAAAAATGAGTGTACTTTATGTTGTCAGGAAAACTATGTACTAACACATTCTAAATGTGTGAAGAAAAAAACTTTAAAATTTGTGCTTTAATCACTGAAAACTGTGTTGGAGCTTTCACTAGAATTTTTTAAATTCTGTAGGCTTAAAGCTAATAGACTAAATTTGACCTCAAAGAACCTTTAAACATAATAGGTACAGCTGAAAATAACAAAATAGATATTTAAACATTCTCATGTTAATAATAAATTTTTCTTTTTAAACTGAAAATGTTAAGATAGACAATACTGATATATTTTTCTTTTTGAAAATCTAGACGTTATTCAAAGAATTAGGAAGTATTATTTTAAACAATGTTCTAAAATATATTGTATCCTTTGAATTTTTTTTTTTTTAGTTTGTTTTTAAAACCATTTAATATTGGAAGTACAATTAAAGTGTTCTAGGGTATTTGTAGGATCTACATAGTCAGCTCCCAAAGGCCTCCTTGGTTTTTTTTTTTGTTAGTTTTATGAAGTAAAATGTTTTCTAGTATTCTTTTAGGTAGTATAAGTACTTTTGCTCTTGTGCAGACAAAGCTGAAGAAAAGTATTCCTTTAGATTGAAGTGTTTGTTGAACATCCACAGGGATGGAGGAAAAAAGCCAATAAGCTTCAGCACCCTTGAGACATCGAGAAGTTTTACCTGGCATATAAACTCTTTATTCTAGTGGGGTTCTATTTTATTCCTGCCCATGGGATATCTGCTCATTTTCTACAGAGAAAAAACTTAAAAATGCTTAAAAATTATATGTGAGAAACCATTTTTTTCTCTGCCTTCCTTATACAGATTTTTTGATGGTTAGTGATGTTAAAGACTTGAGGTAAATATTAATAGAAATTACTATTTTAAAGTTATTTTAACCACAAATGGACAATTGGGGGGAATACTTAATTGAGTTATATATGACATTTGAGAGTATAGATCAAAATTATTTCAGTGAAATTTATAATACTTATGTACATTCTTTTATGAAATAACTTTGTAAGGCAATGATTGGGACTTGGAATCTGAATGGTCAAGTACTTGCACATTCATGCTCACAGAGTTCACTGGTTTCAAATTGAGTCCTCTGTCATATCTATTGTCAAACAGATCACGTTGGGTATTCAGAGGGAACATCAAATTAAGTATGTAATCTAATTCCTGATAATTTCTAACTGGTGATTGCTATAATAATTGATATAAACAAATAGAGCCTTTTTCCCCTTCACAGTATATAGCCTATCTTGTATATATATGCATTTTTATATATACATTTTAAATTCATTTAAATGGAATTGTGCCTTAATGTGTGAGGAGAGTGAAATGCTAGTTACATTCAAGAAACTAGAACCAAGGAATGAATATCAATAATACAGTGTTATCTAAAACACTTAGCAAATTCATACTTACGGTTTTGTCCAAGTGTTTTGGATTTTTCTCCTGAAATTTTATTGAAAACATTTAGACTACATAGTACAATTGCTATTTCAGTAATGTTTGCACAAGTTTGTATCATATTAAAATTTAATTTTTTAAGATAGTTGTATCAGGGAAATAAATATTAAGTATAAAACTTCAAAATGTGTTAAAACAACAAAAGTAAGTATACTAAATCTAAGTTTTAACAGGTTATCACACAACTAAGAAATTGAGTTTCTTAAAAAAAAAGTCTCAAAGCATTTCCTGAAATTAGCAAACTTTAATTTTGTTAAACTTTACAACAGAAAATTCTATACTCAAGATATTGTCAAAAAAGGAGAATACTTTTGAATTTGTGAAGTGAATTTGGGAGTTATCATCAAGTGTCATGCCATAATTCTACTAGCTACTTGGGTCAGAATAAGATGACTCTCAGTAAAGGTATGTACATACAAATCCAATTATAATTTTTAATATAAAATCTTTGTATCTAACCAGTCTAAAGTTTTAAAAAGAATTTGTGCATATTAGAAAAATCATGTTTGCTCTTTAAGGATTCTTTCAGGAATTTTGGTCCCTTATTTTGAAGCAAAGTAATTAATATTACATGGGAATATCTGGGTCTTACAGACTAAAATTGTGAAGTCTTCAGCTAAGAAAAAATGAGGAATTGATTTTTTAAAGGAAATGAGAATAAACAAATACAGTTTTGCAAGAGATGAAAGGCAAATTTTAATTTAAAGGCTAGGAATCAAAAAGAACAAAGAAAGCAATCATATTTCATATTACAATTAATGAGAAAAGAACAGGTTGAACTATGTCTTAGAATTTCTCTAAGTAGGCAAATAAAAACTAATAATTTATCTTTAAATTCAGTAAGTGATATAAGTGATTACAATTTACTTATCTTTTATATGGATTATAAAAATCAAGTTTACTCCTCAAATTGCATAATTCCTATCTACTTTGCTAGTGGTATGAACATTAGGAACTGATTAATTATCCAATAAATTCTAATTTAGATAGTAAACACTGTTTCTACCTCAACAGCAGGTTGATTTTTTTTCTCTATTTCAGTTATAAAAATTACCACTTCAGCTGGAATAACCCATGGCTTAGCTACAAGAGAATGAAACTGAAGCATGGACATAGCTGAGACAAGTTTACTTTGATAAATACATCCAATTAATTCTGTGATATATCTACAGACTACCCCTTAAATTGTTAGCATATGTTTTAAAAGAGATTAAATATTTTTTAAAAGAAAGAGTGAAAGAAAAAAAGGAAGGAAGGGAGGAAAAAAGGAAGGAAGGAGAGGAAGGAGGAGGGAGAGAATAGTTTTTCCCCTCATGAGAAGAAATATCACAGAAAACTTATTTACTGTTTATTTTCTCTCACACAATCCATTACAACCAGATTC